TTCCATAATTATGGTAAATTGCTTAATTTTCTAAGTATAAAGACTAACTGTCTAAGAGCATATTTCTTCTTTTGATAGCAAGTGATATGCTTAGGAGACTCCCCATAGTCCCATACAGATTTACCCATATTCCAGCTTGCCCTATGTCTGGAATCGTTGCATACTAATTATAATATCCTCTGGTCGATTTTTGAAGGGCCTGGCATATATGGATTTTGCCGATGATGCCACCTCACTGCAGCTATAGAAAAGAACAAACAAATGTTTGTTGGGAGAGATAAGCATTGCAAGATCAATTTTTGAAGCAAAAGAGAAAGGATTCTGCTGGTTGTAGGGCCTCTGGAGAAATGGTAGGCCAAGTGGAATCAGGTTTTATCTTTGTTATTATTTGTGTGTGTGTGTGTGTTTGTGTGTAATGCAGTCTATAGACGTTTGCATGTTTGTGTTTCCCACTTCTACATTTTATTTTCTTACTCCTTTGGTTTAAATGGCAACACAGAATAGAATCAGACTTTTAGGGACTCTAGAGCGCCACACTATGCTGCTAATAAACGTAGTGATAACATTCAGCTGAAGGGGTGTAACACATTTGCAATGCCAAGGAATGTCAGACCACTTGGTGTGACCTTGACAAATCCAAATTCGAGGAAGTGGAAGATGAGAGCTGAAGTCAATAATAGTTCAGAGAAATGTTCCTTAAGAAGTGAGGTTTGTTCCTGGGGTTACATGTTACATGTTAACTAGAATAGAACAGTAATTAACAAATTTCCCTTTCTTACAAAAAAAAAAACATAAGGTTTTGCCTTAATATGTTTCTGTACAACACAATTATGACCAACGATACCTGTTTGAGGACGAAAAGCAATGGCCTTGCATCTCATGCTGTGGAAAATGTGAAAATGTCTTTGGTTTGGAAAATATCTAAGGAAGAATAGAGAATATCATCTGTATGCTTAGCCGATTAAATTTCCGCACATGTATATTCATTTTTATTGTCTGTTTTGAATGAATATCTATATCTCGTATGTAATGTTTGTTTCACTTAAAACTCTTCGTGATTCTGTTGGATGCTTTCCTAAAAATTCTCACAGAATCGAGAATGAGGTTTTCACTTTTGTACATGTTAGATCTTGATTATTAGTACCATTCTTAAAAAAAGACCTAATTGTTTCACTTTATATTTTTGGAATGGAATATTTACATAATCCCCATGATTTAGATTAAACGTTTTTCCATGGTATTTGTATGAAGATTCCTCCTTTTTTAAGCAAGTGCTTGAGAGGGTTTATTGAATTGATTTATGAATTATTTTCATTTTCCGTTTCCTTTATGTACTAAGGCACTTGTTTTTTGTTGATATTGAATAAGTGCAATATGATGTGGTCTTTATGATACTGTTAAACAAGTGTATGATAATATGATACAATCATTTTACGGAAGAGCGTATCGCTTCATTTGTATGCCCATCTAAGAGAATAAACGAACAAATTTGTCAGCAAGAGCTGCGCTTGATTTGGGCAATCCACAAAGATCGGCTTTGATGGGGCAAAAGGGACTAGATTTATCTTGCATGGTGAAACTTCCATTGACTCTTGTTATGTGGCAAGAGTGGTTCGAGATGAGCTTCTATTTCAACTAGGTATGTTTCAGTTTTTTCATTTTGTGTTCTTGTTATTGGCTTCATATTAAATTTTGATCGCTTAAGGTTTATGTTTTAACGAGAGAAAGTATAAGAAGAAAATTAAATGGATTTGTTTGAAAGGAGAAGTGATTATCTTTTGGGTTTAAATGGTGAAAACTATGTTGAATTCAAGTTTATGTGACTTCTATCTACTGAGCCTTAGCTCAAATGTCGGCTTAATTGATTTAAAGAAATGAAGTTTTGAGCCCTTTTTTTTTTTTTTTCGTATGTCGCAAGTACGAAGCAGTGATGGTTGACTTGGAGGTTGGTTTTTGATAATTTGCGGCTGTCTAATGTTTTGTTTTGTTTATAGATTTTGAGTTCCCTCTTGTCATTGGCTTTTATGGACAGGCCTGCTTGCCCTCTTGCAAACTCATCTCTTAGTGTGTATATTAGTTTTTCTCCAAAACAGAAGCTCAATGTTGAAACCAGTAACTGTACCTCCTGATGACCGTTACCCCCCAAAGCAAAAAATAAAAGGGGGTCGCCAAATTTTTAAGAATTTGATCTTTTCTTGTTCTGCATGACTGATACTAAAGCTTTGGGTATACTTTAAGATTTTATCGCTTTATCTAGCTGAGGTAGTTTTCTTGCTGATTCTTTGCTTCAACTTTGCAGACCTGAGGCATTTCTCGGGATTGGAAGATTTATGAAAGAGGAGTTTTTTGATTATCTGGTAGGTTTTTGTTATCATTATGAATTTTGAATTACTTTATTGCGTTGATTTATGGATTAAACATAGTGATCTTAAGAATTCTCATTTGTGTATTTTTAGTTATTTTCCTAAAAATACCTTTTTGATAAAAAATTCAGCTTGCCAGATCAATGACTTTTGACTGGCTAAATTATTCCAAAAGTAATTACTAATGACAAATGGCTCATGAGTTTCATTTGTATGGTAGAGATGATTATAGGCCTTGCAATTCAGAATGGATATCAATATTCTTACATTTGTGATGATGTTTAAAGACGCATGGTTCCTTTTGTGATGCATCATCAAATTTTCTACCAAATTAGGCGATAGGATAAACTTTTTCAAAGTCTTGGGAATGGAAATCTATTTTTTTAAGTGGCAGTACATTTTAGAAGTTTTAATTGCATTGTTGTCATCTTTTTCCCTACTTTTTGTGGGAAATCAAGTTCTTGCTACTTTCAGTCAGTATTGCATATATGAGGAATCAGGGGATAAAAATATTAATTCCGTTCTTTGGAGTTCCTTAACTAAGCATTCTTTAAAATTGAACGACTGAACTTGTTCTGGTGCAGTCTGTCTCACTTTGGTGTGACTGCTTGAGATTTGTGCAAGAATATGATCCATATGTACGTGAATTTTCACCTGATGGTATTGCGAAGGGAGAAATCTCTTCGAGCGTGCTATAACTGCTGCTAGTGTGCATGTTTCTATGGCAGTAAAATATGGAACCATACAGGAATTTGAGCAGGCCATTCTCCATACGATAGATGAGACCAACATTAAGTGATAATTTATATATATATAATCGAAACTTATAAGAATATTTGCCTGAAGGGGATGCATTCTATTAATCATTACTTGATTATTTAAAGTCTTATTCCCCTACTGGTTTGGTATTATGGTTAATAACGCTTTTGTGGGTCTTCCTATATATTTCCTAGAACCATGGCTCAAGTTGCATGCCCTGTTTATTTTAGAAACCTTTTTTCTTCTCTTTGTCATTATTATAGTTCATAAATTTTGTTCTTTCATTTCCCTATGAAGTGTTATGTACCAAGAAAAAGTATCTGTTTTCAAAATTTACATTTGGAAATTACTGCTCTTTTGCAGGAAAAGAAAAACAGGTTCAGCGCATCCGAAGTATATTTCACTGTCAGTTGTTTGTTCCCTTTGCTAACATAAGGTCACCCTTCTCACCTACAAGTCTTAGGAGTGGAACTGGGGACTGCTCTAGATGTTGAATCAGGTGATTTAGATGGATTCCTCTACTGTTGCCACAGCGTATGAAAAGGCATTGGAGATGTATAAGGTTGAGCTGATTTTGAAGAACGGATTGCAAAGCAGATATATCTGACTCCAAAAATTTCAACAATTCATGGTATATGGCATTACTATCAGATATTGTTTTAGACACTACATGATAATGCTTGGCTTTACATGATACCTTAAGCAGTTAGGTTAAACGGTAACTTAATATATTAAAGTAGAGGTCATGATTTGAGTCTCCCATCTATTACATCCTGCTATACTTGGGTTGGTCTTTTCTGTCTGAAATTGGATTGGTTTAGTAACACGTGAAGATGCCTGTTACAAAGCTTAATCCATTGTTGTGCCCTTACCTTTTCAAGCTTAAGCTTTTAGGTCGAGTTGTTTTACAACAATTTCTTTTGAAATTTCTTATAACTTCAATTTCTTATGGTCTTTCTTGCTTCTAATATAAGTAATCAGTTTATGTAAACTTTAGATCTTCTCTTCTTCTTCTTTTCCTGAGGTGGGGGGTTGCATAAGAACTTGCAATGTGGCAATAGGTTACTTTTTTTTTTTTTTTTCCTTCTCTAAAGTGTTAATACTATTATTTTAATTTGAAATTTTTGCCAGATCTACTTGAAGTTTGAATAGTCTTCTAAGATCCAGTCCATGTTTCAACTTCTCTAGACATGCTATTACCGAGTTTCCTGTATCAAGTGATCTCTGGCTTGATTATACTCGCTATTTGGATAAACCTTGAAGGTTTCACCTCATATTTTCTCTTTTCAATTCTTTATGTTCCAGGTATTTGGATTTTACCAATTATCATCTCTTTTTTCCCTTCAGGTAGGAAATATTGTGCGTGATGTTCATTCCAAGGCTAGAAAAATTGTCCTTAGGTTGGTGATCTTTGGTTCGATCTTTGCTCGCTTTGGAACGTTGCCGTGTGCCTGAGAAAGAGATATCTACTGTAAGTTTCAGTTGTTACCCTTCATCTGTTGAGAATTATGGAGATTGTTATAAGTAGCTTAAGAGCAATGAAGTTTCACAAACTTTAGTGTTGGAATTTCATTCTGCTCACTTTTACAAGTATAAAGGTTTACTCTTGTTTAAAAAGATTTTTATATCATATTCGTCTTTGAGAAGTCCCTTCTATGCACTTTTTTCGACCATTGAGGAGTAAAGATATCTTTTCTCTAATTTGCAGGCTTGAGTTACTACTCTTTTGTAACTTGTTATTGTTTCATCTACTGTTTATGCATTAAAGATCTTTGTTAATTGGACCTCTCTTTGTTTCAGTACCTAAACTTATTCCTCACTTGAGTGGATGGTTTAAGATGAAGATCCTTTTGCCTGAGCAGAAGAGGATGCACTGAATTTTCATTGACAAGGGAAACGTTTCAGGTTCGCATATGTATACTATTCATTTTTCCTTGTTAAATTTTGTTTTACTCGATGTCAAGAACTTGAAGCTTCTCAAAGATATTTGTAGATGCTCTATTCATGGTGAATTTTAGATGAAGAAAATGTTGACCTTGTAGCTAGTCTACTCTTTCAGGGTCCAGGCATAGATCCTTATGAATGTGTATCAAGTGCTTCTACCCTTAGACTCTGAAGAAAAGTCTTTTAATTTACTTCATTTAGTGTGCTGTTATAGTACCATTATGACCACTTTATGTAAGTTACAGTGCTAACTCTCGATACTCCAAGATGGCTTTTGCTAATTGCTAGATTGTTCCCTTTGTTAATTGTTTTGTCATGGAATAGTGTCCTTTGCTAAACATTTCTCATTCAGCATTGGAGTTGCATGCACGGAAGATATCTTTATGGATCTATGAATTTATAAATTGGCATGTCATTTTCTACTTCTTGTGTAATGGTTGTCTTCAATTTTGTGTTTATAAACAATTAGCCTGATGTCTCTTTAGTGTACCATTGAAATTGCAGGCCCTGTATGATTGGATGTACTATATATACTTAATACTTAACTGTGAGTTTCTTCATTTCAGGGGCGTCTGATTACTTCTCTCAACAGATGAAGAATACAGATGGTTTGTTGCATTTGTACGCTTATTGGGCTCATTTGGAGCTAAATTGGGAAAATATCAAGTTGCAGCTCGGGCCTTTTTGGAGAGCCTGGTTAAGATCTGGTTTGGCCCATTCATCATTTTCTCTTTCTTATCCGTATAGTTCAATATGATTGATTTATGATTCATCTTTGTATTTTTTTTTCCGTATAACTTGCTTTTTGTCTGTGCAGCAGGTCAATATCAGAAGCCTGGTAAGGTTATATGCTATGAAAATTGAATTGGGACATTTAAATGAAGCTATGTGCCATCTTAGAGATGCTTCAGTAAAGATTTAGTGGGACAGGTTCAAGGTATACTTCTTTTACATTACTTGCTTTCATTATTCTAGATTGATTTATGGACAGGATTTTAATTTGAAAGTTTTTAAACTGGTTTTTTTTCTCCTTCCTTCTCATTTTTTTTTTTTTGGGAAAATTGTTGCTTTTAGTAGTATACCAATGTGCTTTATTTAATCATTGATATTTGTCATCTGCAATGCAAACACTTCTATCTTTATTCTCTTTTTGTTGCTAATGGAAGCTGAAACCAGACAAATGGCTTAAGTCAAGTTGTTAAAAAATGTTGTTTATCAGGAGGCAATTTATAGAGATCTTTTGAACTCTTAACATAGAATCATGCTCTGCAGCTGAGAATATTTTTAGAGTGTAGCCTTGCAATGGTCAACCTGCTACTCGGGCACCAGAATCACAATGGTTTAATATGTCCATTTTGAATAATTTTTTCAAATCATACGTAAATGATATATGACAGTATCTCTAGTATCATGCTAATTGAAAATCCATGACGTTTATTTTTTTAACTTCAAACTTTAGAGTTACTGATACTCTGATGAATTGTGGCATATATGAAGCAATCACATTTAAATCATAGGTAGCAAAGTTGTTTTTGAAACACAATAGGCTGATATCTTTTTCCACTTGGCTTTTTTTTTTCCAATTTGTTTAAAGAAAGTTTCTTAGTTCAAGCTTTACTTTTAGAGTTTCATGTCAAAATATGCTATAGTTAAGAAAACTTATTGATGTAATAATTTATATGACCTATCATAAAGTCATCTAAGTTCTCTCTTTTCTATGATCAATTTAGGGTTTAGTTTGATAAAGTTAACCTTGTTATTTTCATCTTATCTTTATTGGCCTTACTATATTTAATCGAATTGTTTCCCAACTCTCTACTCCGCTGCCCACTCATTTCATATTATATGATCTAATTGATGATCTCACGACATCATCTAAGTTACTGACAATTCTTGCTTCTTGATTTATGATATTGAAAATATTGTTTTTGGGTCCACAACTCCAGGGTTGGATTTGTTGAAATATTCTTTTCCTTAAAAACAGAGTTATTCAGACATATGCCACAACTGTTGCTTTTGGAGGGAATACGGACACTTGAAGATTTTGACCACGCTGCATAAGGTACACATTCCTGCTGCAGTTTTAATTTATTTGTTTTAATGCCAGTTAATCACGTATTTCTTTTTTCAATCTAATGTGTATGATGCATTTGCATTGCTATTGAGAATTAGTATGTATAGATTTTATCAAAAAACAATTGAATTTTTAACTACTGATATTTAGCTTGGTTGCGATGTTTGCCTTATCTAGTAACCATCTGTGTTTTGACTAAATGTGCCACTTTAGCTGTTGTCTTTGATGACCTCAAATGATGTGCTTGTAAATGAGCTGTGTTTATGTGCCTCTGTACATATTATGAACTCTTTGCTTCTCTCTTGTTAGAGCTTAAATACTACTGGTGGATCATTGCCTATTTGTTTAAATTTTTAGTTTAAGTGATAACTTAATTGAGTACTGTAGCAGGTGGTCCACATAGTCTGTGTTTAAATCTCCCTATGAGATTTTGGGCCAATTTGGTTTGGATTCAAAAATTTTGAAAAACTAAGTTACAATTAAAATTTTAAAAGTTTTATGTCAATATTTTAAATATTTGAAAATAATTTGGTATACAAAAATTGTTTTTTCAAGTTAAAAACTATATAAAGACTGAGAAATGATATTTTTCTTGTTTTCCTAATTTTACACTATTTTTAGGATTATATGCAAAAACATTGTTTTGAAAACCTTTCAACTTATTTAATAAAAACATATTTTCATAAAATTCCTTATATTCCTTGTTTTCGAAATAAAACACTATTTAAAGTTTATATCAAATAGGCTCTTATTTAGATTATGAATTTGTATTTGTATTTATGTTATATTTATGGTTGTGATTGTGGTGTTCAGCGCCCGAGATTGTGTTAAATTTTAAGTATGGTTGTTGGATGCTTAACTATCAATTTAATCTTTTAAGTCAAGTTGTTACATAACATTGTTAAAGATGTCACTGAATTATGATACATCTGCTTAGTATTTATTGAATGTGTGCAATCCTTGCTATTTTAACTTAATGCTAAAGATGCTTGTCTTTGTTCCCTTTCTCAGGTTACACCCCGCTTGGAAGAGCTGCAATTATTTAGGTTACAGTAGGAAGCCAAATCTGTTCCTGAACTAATAGATCAGAAAGAGAAGTCACATAAGAAAGTGTTTAATGGAAAGAGAAAAACAGTTTTTGAACATGACTGACGAACATCTCCTCCAGCTAGCGGTAGAAAAATACTGCCCAAACCCAACAAAGTGCATGGGAAGAAAAGGGACAGCATAGAACGTAGCTGAAGAAAACGAAGTAGAAGCAAACCCAAGTTTGAAGAGCATCCAATGACCAGCACATCAAAGACTTCTCCCCACTGGAAGAGCCAAAGGATACTGACAAGTGTGTTGGCATTTTTATCAAACCTTAACTTCAAGGCAAGTAGAGATTCTCTGCACTTCTGAAGATCTGAAAAAATTCTTTAGCAATGTTGGTGGGGTTGAATCTATTCGAATTTTGCAGGACAAGTTCACTGGAAAGTCAAGGTATGACTCTCTTCTGTCATTCATTATTTGTCAATCCTTAACTTCAAGGCAAGTAGAGATTCTCTCGCACTTCTGAAGATCTGAAAAAATTCTTTAGGCATGTTGCGCGGGGTTGAATCTATTCAAATTCTACAGGACAATGTTCACTGGAAAGTCAAGGGTATGACTCTCTTTCTGTCATTCATTTATTTGTCAACGTTCTTTGGGCTTTATGCTTCAAATGAAAAAAGGGAAGCTATCCACTAGACCTTCCATGTGCACATCAGTCTTACATCAATCCTTATTTAACATTGCCTGACCTTTAACTTCACATATGTATGCATAATGTGGACTATACCACCAGAAATTAGCCCTAAAAACTATTTTAATGAGACTGGAGATCAGCATGGCCGATGCTTCAGGGGATTGAAACTGCTAAATGCAGTATATTCTCTTTGATCAATTTCTCAAGGGTGCTTTGCTGAAACTCAATTTTGATTTCTTTCTTTCATGCAGTCAATAAATCATTTAGTTCTTATGCTTTTGGTTTTAAGATGAATGTCCTTTCCAGAGACGATTAGGTAGTCTCAAATAAACCTGCAGAAGGGTTGAATTCCATAATTTTGGTAAAATTGCTGAATTTTCTAGAGTATAAAGGTCTTACTGTCTAAAAGCTATATTTTTTTTTCATTTTGATAGCAAATGTATGCTGAGACTCAACCATATCCCTATAGATTTACCCATATTCCAGCTTGCTTTTAACTGCAGAGCATCTGTCTGGGACCATTGCATACTATTTATACTATCCTCTAATCGATTTTTGAAGGGCCTGGCATATGTGGATTTTTGCCTGATGCACATCTTGCTGCAGCTGTAGGAAATAACAAACAAATGTTTCTTGGGAAGAAGATAGCATTGCAAGATCAAATCCGAAGCAAAAGAGAAAGGATTCTGCTGGTCATAGGGCCTCTAAGAACATGGTAGGCTAAGTGAATTATGTTTTATCTTTGTTATTACTTGTGTGTGTTATTTTGTGTCCAATGCGTCTATAGACATTTGCATGTTTGTGTTTCCTACTTCTACATTTTATTTTCTTACTCTTTGGGTTAAATGGCAGCGCAAAATAGTAATCACTTTCAGGGAGTCTAGAGCACCACACTCTGTGGCTAATAACGTGTGATAACTTCAGTTGAAGGGGAGGAACCATTTGCAATGCCAAGGACGTTCACCACCTGGTGTCCCCTCGACCAAATCAAAAGCCGGGAAGTGGAAGATAGAGCCGAAGTCAAATAATGAGTTCAGAGAAATGATTTTAAATAAGTGAGGTGTGTTCCTGAGTTACCTGTTAACTAGAATAGCACAGTAATTGACAAACTTCTTTCTTATAAAAAAAAAGAAAACATAAGGTTTTGTCTTAATATGTTTC